AATGACCTTTATCACAATATGCTAATTTTTTGAGAAGGACCTGTACAGTAGTAAACTTAAGGGGTTGAAAAAAACTGCATCAGCGACAATACTGGCTCCCCTTATCAGTGTTTGGTTGCACCCCCTTAGGCAGCCTCCAAACAATTCTTGCAGTCGTCCATAAGCTTCTTGCACGTCTCAGCTGATATTTTTTCACTCTTCTTTTGCAGTTATTTTAAACTCTTGAATGTTTGCAGGGTTAATTTCCTAAATGGCAAACTTCAGCTCATGCAAAAAAAAAACAATAAGATTAAGTTCAGGACTCATTGCTGACCATTTTAAAACGACACAGAGCTTTTTTTACTCTTTAAACACTCCTTGAGCTAGCTTGTGTGCATTTTGTCTTGCTGAAGGACTCCTGACCTTTGCCTCAGGCCAGGTTTTCTTACACATTTTGCTCTAAAATCTCTTGGTAACTTTCCAGTTTCATTATTCCTGTGGCAAGGACTCCAGTACAAGATGTAGCAAAGAAGCCCCACAATATTATGGATCCTCCACCATGCTTAATTGTGGGAAGGATGTTCTTTTCCTTGTAAGCTTCATCGTGCCGTCTGTGAACGAACTGTTGACAAAAAGCTTGAGTTTTGTTTCATCTGTCCAGGGAACATTTTCCCAGGACTGATCTGTCCTGATACTCAGTTGTTCCATTTTATGTTTGTTTTTTTTCCCAGCAGCAGTTTCTTCTGTGGTCTTTACCCATAAAACTCGGCATGTTTTAGTGTGCGGCGTATGGTACTTGTAGAAACAATGACCTCAAACTGTTCCAGGTTGACCTTCAGGTCTTTGGATGCTGAATGTCGAGGGGTTTTTCATCATTTTGCAATTTCTCCCTTTATTCCATGTCTAGGGAAGTTCTTCATTGTTCCATGCTTCACAGACTTCTTGATAACATTGTGTACTGTTGAAACAAGGATACCAAGGTCCTTGGAGATGGCCTTATACAGCTTGGAGGTGTTGTGTTCGCTAATATTTAATATTAGCCCTTCTGATGTCCTCAGACAAGTTTTTTTGCCTTTAATATTTTAGCAATGAAACAAAGATGTGGCTTTTCAAAACACTGAAGTCCTCATTCATTAACCAACTGACAAGACGCGACCTGTCAATCAGTCCAGGAGGATTGTCAGCAACTTGACTAATCTGTGATCTCAATTTATATTGATGTGAAATGTCCCTTACCTGCAGGAGCTGCACCCCCTTTTCCTCTGACAACATTTGTCTGGGTTTTGTATCACCAACGCTTTGCGATCATAAGGATTTCGTGAAAAACCATCGTAAAAAAAATGGTTAAACGTTGTCAGTGAGGAACATGCAATTCAGACACATGTCATCCTGAGTGTTTGGAGAGAGGAATGCAGTTTATTCCATTTGCAAAACCTAAACAAAGTCTGTAAAAATGAAAAAGATGATAAAGCCCTGCGGCCGACCTCATGAACAGCTGACTACAACAGTGATAAACAGGAAGTACCTGTTTATCTGTACAAAGGTAACTGCAGGTAAATCCTATATTTTCTGTCATAATTACATTTTGTACTTACAGTATTTTCCGCCGTACCCATCGCACCACCCTATAAGTTGCATCAGTCCAAATATGTCTAAAAATGTAGAAAAATCCATAAATATGTCGCTTCGCTGTATACGTCGCTCCTATTATGAGTCACCTGACGCGTCGTGTTTGTTACACGTCACCACTGACAACCCAGAAATGTGGGTCGGCGCTGTGCCATAAATCAATGGACTGCCAAATGGCGGCCGCGGGAGCGTGCACTGGAGGAACACGCAGAGGGAAGAGGCTCCATATTTCTTCGAAATTTAACAAGATAACCACCTAAAAACAATTATTTGTTTGCTTGACTTTATGGTAAAGGTGTGTCTCAGTCTAACGTTTGCTTAATAAATGCACTTTAACTGTCAAATCAGCAGCATTTCAAAAGTATTCACTGCCTCGGTGCTCTGGGAGCGCAGAGGGAGGAAAAAAGAAGGAAGAAAACTGTTCGTTTCTTCGAAATGTAACAAGAAAAGCACCTAAAACAATTATTTGTTTGCTCGAAATTATAGCTAAGGTGTGTCTCAGTTGAACTTTTGCTTAATAAATGCACTTTAATGGTCAAATCAGCTGCATTTCACCGGGGCGGTGCTGCTGGTTTGACGGTTGCTCCAAGCAGCGAGCAGAACGAAGGGGGAAGTCTATGGCAAGCCGATTGTGTCATTAATAGCTGGTGAAGATTCTCGGTCATCCAGGACATGGTAAATTCAAAAAAGTTCAAGATAAAAACAATAAAGTATAATAAATAAAGTCCAGTTGTTTTTCTCTTGAAGTTTTTTGAATTTGTCATTATAGCCACTTTTACCTATTACATAATACAACAGCATGCCTTAATACTACTACTACTACTCTGCTGCCATTTAGTGGCTGAAAATGGTAGTGTTCAATTTTTTTTCAGTCAGAATGAATGAAAACGGTCATATCTCTGGTGAGTGAGAAAGTGAATGGTTGTTTGTCTCTACGTGTCCCTGTGATGGACTTGCGACCCGTCCAGGGTGTACCCCGTCCCTCACACAGTGATTGCTGGACATGGGCACCGGCGACCCCTGTGACCCAAAATAGAACAAGCGGGTAAAGAAAATGGATGGATGGATGGTCATGTCTCTGCCAAAAATTGGTTTATAAATATTGGGGAAATGCATAAATACGTCAGTTTGGTCTATAAGTCACAAGACATGTAAATTATGCAAAGCACCACGACTTAAAGGCCGAAAAATACGGTAATGGTTAAATTAAAGGTTAATGCTTAAAGCTAGTTGTGTTTTGTTTTGTGTGTTTTATACGTAGATATACATTGCAACTTCTGGCTGCATAAGTTTAGTCTTTGTTTATGATCAGTTAACACTAAACTGATTTTGCACAAAGTGTTTAACAGGTTGTGTAATGTAAAATTTACACTCTTACATAATGAATTTCACTGTAAACTATTGCCCTGTGTCGCTCTACGACATCAAAACATCCACTGCAGTAATTATTTTAAGTTATTAGTCTTTGATTTATTTTTTTTGTCCGACTTCTTTGCCTTAATGTTTGCTGGTAAAGCAAAAATGCTTCAGTGAGCTTCACTACCTCCACCATTACAGCCATCTTGTTTGTTTGCTAGTCAGAGGTTAGCTCACCCTGGGTTACATTTCCGTGTGGGCGGAGCAATCTTACTGTTCGTGTCATGTCAGTTCATGGCACACCGGCACTGACAAGCCATCACAGGTTGTTATTTGTCATTTAAAACTAGCCACTAGGGAGCACAAGCCAGTGAATTTCTTGTGCCTGTCCCAAGCCCAGGTAAGTGGTGAGGTGGTAGGTTATAAAAGTGTATCTGGTATAGAACACTTCCCAAAACAAGCAGAGTTCATCCAAGCAACACCATCCAGAATCAGTCAAGGCCCAGGTTAATGACAACCACCATCGGTGCTGTTGACAAATAGGGTGCCGATGGAAATTGTGCTACCGTTAGTCAAAGACCACGAGGAGAGAAACGTGTCAGGAGACAGAGAGAAGCGGAGCGGCAAGAGAGTAGCAACTCTAAACGCGGGGACAATGACAGGCAAAGGTAGAACACTGGCTGGCATGATTAGTATCGCCATCATTCTTATTATTGATTGTAATTTAACACAGGTGAGACAAAATGTGCGTCCCCACTGATTTACCTTATAGGGTGGCGGTTACAGTGCCGCAGCAAACTTTAGGTTCATCTTTTATTTACTTCTATTATCAATGTCTGAACTTTTTACCAATTTGTTCTTTTGCACCAAACACTTATCTGTAGAAACAAATTGGTTCACTTGATTAACTATTTTCAGGAGTATTGAGCATGGACTTTGTTGTTCTCAACCAGTTTGACATGACCGTCAACAAGGAAGAGGGCCGGCAATGGAGGAGGGGCGTGACAAAGAGACCATCTTATCACAAGCAGAACTGGTTTGTTCCACTTTGGAGTAAGCTGTTGGGGGAAGAATCAGTTTTGTTGTGTGTTTCCTTGACTGATGAAGCCTTCTGGATCGAAGGCGAAACGTTTCAGCACAAAAAAAGAAACTGTCCAGATGACCTGACTGAAAAATGTTGGATTGTATAGCTGGATTATTGAGCATGGACTTTGTTGTTTACAGGTTTTCTACATTATGTACCTAAACCTCATAGACGGCAATAATGGTGAGCAGGACTGTAAATACTAAACAAGCTGATTTTGGACTGCGGTGATTTTTAGGACCCACCTCTCTGTACGGTCTGACCAACAAACCAGGAGTGAAAATCTTCTTCAAATGCTTTGACCTCGTACAGCTGCAAATCTCCGCTCCCCAGCACGTACAGAGATGCTCCGTCTGCAGCAACAAAAAGGGAACCTTGCTAGTTTCATTTCTGCAATCACGTCACAAATATAGAAACAAACTGCTGTGAACGCTCACGGGACGCACGCAGAAACTTTCGGTTTTGACTTGGCAATAATATGTCAATGGTTTCTTATTGGTAATTCAATAAAAGCCAACTATATCTAATGCTATAACTAAGACTCAAACAGTTTTATCACCAATTACAATTAGGACAAAAGTAAAAAATTTAGGAGATGGCAAATTATTTGAAGTGCAGTGAAGAAAACATTTAATAGAATCTATAGGCTGTTAAATCTGTATCATGTGTATCTGAACGTATTCACAATACAGTACAGAAACTAACACGTCTTCAAAAGAGCAAAAATGAGGCCAAAATGCTTAGGACCGACGTTGCCAAACATTCAGAAAGTGTTTCACAATCTTTGCTGCTATACTTGCGGTTAGTCTCGTCAGCTAAACTAAAGGGCATTTTACTCTAAATCTTGGTGGAAAATGTTTTCAGAAGTCCAGAGTGAAAATGATGGACATTTGTATTTGAACCCCTAACAAACATTTCTAACATTTCCACCCACTCATTATCTTACTGAGTTCATCCTGATGGGAAAAGTGAATACAAGCTGAAATTTTGACCACCTTTACGGCATTAATGCAACAAACATGTTGCTTTGTTTGCTTCCCGTCTGTGACTCTCAAGCTTCAAAACAATACAAGGCAAATTTACTTTAACTCATCTACTGAACATCCACAGCCCTCAAAGCTAGATATCATTTCCCATCAGCATCTTTTTATTAGATCTGTCACATGCTCTAATAGCAGCTCTTACAGTGAGAACATTTATTATCTATAGCATCAAATGCCACATTAAGTTTGGATAGAGGTAATGTTTATAATCTATATCCAGAAGTAAATTATAACTTAAGTGTTCGCTTATGTTCAGGCTGCTGTTTAATACATCGTATTATATTACAGTAGTCCCTCGCTACTTCACGCTTTGTTCATCACGGTCTCGCTCTATCATGGATTTTCAAAATAAGATTGGACATGGCACACAATTGGCTGATTGATGGATGAGCCGCATGATCGGTATGGAATTTTATTTAAAATAAATTATTTTAAATTATTTAGCACCTGTTGCACCTGTGTGCAGCCCACAAGCTGCAGAAAAAGCTTCCTTCTGCAGCATGTCACATCTCCATTCTGCACTGGGGAAGTGGGCGTGGCCAAAAGCGTTTGCAGAGGGCCAAGTGCGGCAGGAGGCAGAGAGCTGAAATTAAGCCTGTCGCGATAAACAATAAATCAGTTAATCGCATGATGAATGAAAATTACCAACCTCATTTTCATTTATCGGATTTATTGTTTCTTTGTGTCTCTCTTTTTCTACTGAAGACACTGGATGACAAAAGGCTCAACTCCAGTGCTCTTCACTGACCCCTCCCTTTCTCTTTAAAATCTGTTTTAACCATCCAAATTGTGTTTTTGGATCATTTAAAGCAGCTAAACTGAGAAGCTGAGCTACGAGCTAAGCTAACAGGCCGACCTCGGGGAAAAACCTCGTTTTGTCAAAGCTTCAAAGCGCCTCCCTCCCATTTTTCGTAAAGAGACACGCTGCTCACTCCCTGACGATCCATCCTTCAGTTCAAACAGACTTATACTGCCATCGGGTGGTCGAAAAAAGGTACTACACACAAAACAAAATATAAGAAAGAAAACATTCCTTCTTAAATTTGAAAATTACTAATTATTGTCAAATTTCAAACAATATTATTGTTTATCGCAATAATTTCTGAGACAATTAATCGCCCAGCAAAATTTGTTATTGTGACAGTTCTAGCTGAAATCATGACATACTGTGCTCTTTTAGAGCATTTAGATTAGAAACATTGTTTAGAATATTGCAAGAGTGTGGGAAGGGTTTATAATGCCTTCATATATATATATATATATATATATATATATATACACACACAGGTCCTTCTCAAAAAATTAGCATATTGTGATAAAGGTCATTATT